AATCGCCTGCAGTCGTCGCTTTGTTTTTGTTGCCAGCTTCCTCTGAAGCTGCATCCTCGTGGGCGTCATGAAAATAAAGCCAAATTAAAATTATATCCTTTTTCTCTCGGTGTGGGTGTGTGTGTTGCTGTGTGTGTGCTGGTGTGTGCGGGTGTGTTGGGTGGGGTATCCTTTTGTATGCACAAAAGTCAACTAAGTCGTGCTCAATTTTTATGATGGCAAGACGACGCTGCCGTCGCCACTTTGTGTGTGGCTGTAAGCCAAGTTAGTAGAGCCAAGGCAAAAAGAGGGAGGCGGGGGGAGTGGCAAAAGGGGGGCGGTGGTGCAAATGAATGGCAGCCAGCCGCTTTATGAATGGCCACAAAAATCCACTCCACCCACTCTGAAAAACTCTTGCTGTCTGGCAGAGTTTTGCCTCTGCCCCCGAAAAAAAAAAAAAAAATAAGAGAAGAAAATGGCAAAAAGAAAAGAAATTAAATGCACTTCCTTTATGCGCGGGCTTCTCATATTTTCCACCCGGCTTTCCCCCGGGTTTTTTCACCGTTTTGCCACGCCTCCCCGCCCCCCTTTTCCCTTCAACCCCCCGCGCCCACACAATGCGCTAATAATGGAAGTGCACTTTTGACACAAAAGGTGCAGTGGCGACAATGCCGCTCCTCCTGGTTTTTGGCCCTTCTAGAGGACTCCTCCTTCCCCTTTCTGCCCTTCCCCTCTCCACCTCCTTTTGTTGCCTCTATTGCTCATTCGCTGCAAGGGCGATTAGTCGGTGGGTGGTGGGTGGAAAGTGGGTGGAAGGTTGGTGGCAAAAGACGGTGCAAAGGGCGTGCATCTTTTGAGATTAGAACATTTTTGTGGCATTGCGCTTTCACTTCATCGGACGAGATTGCCCCTCCTTGTTAATATATTTCTCTCCTTCTTCTTCCTTGGCATGTATATATATACAGTCTGGTTTATCCATTTGATTCGCCAGCTAAATGCCTTTATTGCCTCATAATTTTGAGTGGCCTTTGCTGATAATGATGATTGCTCTAAGCTGATTGGAAAAATTGAAAAGAACGAGTGCGGAAAAAAACCCTCTCCACGGGTCAGCAATATGTCAACAAATTCGATTATTCCCTGCTTGATAAAGCTATACAAATCTGTGGGATTAAATCTTGGCTATTGTGACGAAACGAGAAGAGTTTGCCGTTATCGTGGGAAAGAAGAAACATGTATTTGAGTAAAATTGATTAAAACTACCTAAAATAGGTTGTTGAAAAAATTCATTTATATTGGTCAAAATTCATTTATAGTAAAGTACTTAAAAATTCAACCCCCTCTAGAAAGACAGAATTTAACATATGAATCAAAGAAAAGCTATTTGAGTGGGTCTACTTACATCGTTCATTAAAAAGTCAATGATTAATACTGCTTAATGTCAAAGAATTAACCTTAATTAACAGCCAAAATGGTAAGGCTTCTTCTAATTTCCAAATTAAAGCAACACGAAAGCTTCACCTTGGAAACGTACCGAACCGTTTCTTGAATTAACACGTTTTGCTGAAAGTGTTGCGTATACGTAATGTGGGTCCTTGAGGCGACTGCTCAGGCGCTTTTCCCCTCCCTTCCCGCTCCTCATCCTTCGTCCACTAAGTGCTGCATTTCCATTTCGATGGCAACAAAATCAAAGTGAAAACCGTTCTCATAACCAAATCAAACCGAATTGAATTGAATTGGAGGCGAGACGATTCGAGACGCAGCAAGGCAGCCGAAAGCAAACCAGAGCAGAGCAGAGCAGAGCAAACAAAACGAAACGAAATGTGCTGAAGACATTCAAGTGTCGGTGGCGTATGAGTGATTTACCTGGCCAGCCGACGACGGAGAAGGCCAAAAAGGTTCCTTGGCTGCAGTGCAAATAAATCAAATAAATAATAAATGAAACGAAACGAATCAAATGCGAAATAAAAATCAATGGCACTCACCACTTCAATGACTCGGAATACTCACATCCATACACACACTTATATATATATATATATTTATTTATATATATAAACGACGCACACCCACTCAACAACTAACACACACATAAAAGGAAAATACTTATACCCGTGCAATTTGCTTTTCGGTTTGATTTCAAATAAAATGTTGCTTCATTGCATCGAATTTGAGGCAGGAAAAAAAAACTGAAATTGTGGGTAAACTGCCGGGGTTGGAACGCCTACTTTTGTGGGTACGGGCAGGCGTGGCACACTGATACTTGAAGAAGAAGAAAAAATGAGAGCTAGTTGGGCATGACTTTTGAACACGGAACCTCGGACTTTGGTCAATTGCAATTAGAAGTCAGTGCAGAAGTGCGCTGCTCTCCAAGAATTCCAATGGGCCTTAGCCACTCCTCCTCCTTGTCCCCTTTTCCCCGGCGACCTTTGCCAACCCCCACCCACCCCTTTTGAACTCCCACCCCGCCGACTCCTAATAAAAATGCAACTGGGCACATAAAACTCTGACCCAAATACTGTACATTATGTGTTTATGTCTGTTGGCAAAAAAGGAAGAAAGCAGTGAGGGGGTGGCAAAAAGATGAGAGGGCGGAACAACAGTAAAAAGGGAGTGGAGGGTGGTGGGGGTGGTTGGCAGGGTCTGGAGAAATTGCAACACTTGAAAACTTGAAAATGTTTTCGAGAACTTGCGCTGGCACAAAAGTTAAAAGAGGCCAACTGCAGTCCTCGGACTCTGAAAATGGAGTACCGAAGAGTGACGAGGGGGGAGGAATAGGGGGTAAAGGGAGCTGCACCTGATGACGGGGGACAAAACTCCCCCAAACCCCCCGGAAAGCCCACCGCCCGCTTGCAAAAACCCCCGACTCTGCAGTAATTAGTGCAAACAATTGTGCTCGTTTCCGATATCCTTGGTTACTTTCCCAAAAAATACAGCAAAAAGGAAAACCCCTTTTTTGGCGAACGCCCCTGCCTTTTAAGCCTCACTGCGGCATTTTATTTCAAGGGGCGTCTGGAGCCGCGAAGCTTTGAAGAACCCGCCCGGAAGAAAGTATATACATATATATATATATATATATATATATATTTACAGTATAGAAGGCAGGAACCCCTGCTGTTTTCCATTTATTGGAAATATAAAGCATATTTCGTGTGCTCTTTTGTCATAATAAATTGGCAAACTTGAAATCGGATATCGGTGCGCGCACCCGACTTCTCCGAAAAAGTGACAAAGAACGCGGGTTGCCATAGTTTCTTCTCATTAAATGGAAATGTAAATGGAAATGAGAATGATTTTGGGTCGCGCAGCTGCGTCCCCCATTGATACATAGATTGTGTGGGGGCATCGGAGGGTTAAACACTGCCAGAGGACACTGCAAGGGCAACTGGCTCGGTTTGCATTTTGACCCGTGCAAATTATCGCATTTCCAGCCGAACGACAATCGATTTTTGTTATCGGGTCAAGTGTTTTTTGATTTCCACCAGCTTTGTGCTTTTGTGTTGGTTTCACTTTCCTTGAATTTTTCCGTTGATCGTTTTTGGCCTTGTTAGCCGTTAGCCGCATCTATCGAATATCGCCGAGAATCGCATAAGTTGCGATATATATCGAAGTTAATTTTAAAATAGTTGTTTTTTTTCCTAATAATAATTGTTAATTATTGCATGCATTTTGAATACGTTTTAAAGGCGTTTGATGGCGGCGAAATCGGTGGGGAAAGTTATCGATGGGCGAGAGATTCTATAGTTTTTATAATGAAATAATAATATTGATTATGAATAACTTTTTACCGACTTGAATAATCGCTTGACCATTAGGACTTGCCGATGTTGCGCTTCTTTTTCCAACAATGTTGATTAATTTTAATTCCTTTTCACGCTTAAGTCTCCAGCGGAAACTAATGCCGAATGCCTTCGATAACATTCGCCCACCAATCGATAAACCATCAATCGTTGCACCTCCCCTTTTTTCCCCGTTTGGTCGCAGCTTCCATTTAATACCGAAACCAACTTGAAATTCTGATGAACTCGCTGAGAAATGTTGGAGGATTCGATATATATTGGCATTCCAAAGTCGGGACTTGAATATCCCCCGTCCTTCCCCGAATTTCCACCTCGCATTTTTCCCCTTTCCCCGAAAAAGCTGCGTGCCAAATGCCATTTGCACTTGCACCCCGGGAAAAGCAGAGAGTGGGGGAAAATTCCCCCAAACCCCCCCTCCTGCTCATCCCCCGCTCTTTTTTCCGTAGCTCATTGTTGGACATTCATTCGAATCATTCCACACACTCGACGATACACACACACACACACACACACACAAACACACACATGCAGAGTTCCGATAATTGAATTACCCAAAGCCAGGCAAACACTTTGAGATTGTCCCGCAAAGAATTCCCCAGAAACACATACACGCACACAAAAGATGTAGATGCACTGCAGTTGCAGATACAAAATCCAAAAATACAGATACAAAGATACAGATACAAAGTAGAGAACGCATTCCCGGCGACAAAACTCTCAGAAAACTCTCATCCCATCTCGTTCGCTCGCTCTTTCCGTCTCTCTTTCTCTCTCTCTCTGTTTATACATACACTCCAAGTTTAATACAAGTACCTATACATATGCATACGAAACATAGCTATATTTCCATATATATATACATATATATATAAATATATTTATATAAATATTTCCTCAAATTATTGCATAACTTTTTCGGTTTGTCCTTAGAGCCAAGTGCTGAGAAAACAATCGAGTCGCTTTTGAGTTTTACCATTCCATCAATACAGACAATTGCTCAATGTTTTCTTCACCTTTTTCAAAACGTATGATTTTTCAACCACAAAACTAAATTAGAAACCAACAGAAAAGAAAAGAAAAAGCAAAAAGAAAGAAAAGCAAGAAACTCGAACGCAAATAAGCCACGTAACTAACTCATATATTTTTGTCTTTTGCAAAACCCAATAACCAAAAACCCCAAACAAACCTCGACGTGGAAACTCTGGATTGGAAAACCTTGAATAGTCGCGTTTCCGTGATGCGAGGACAAGTGATCACACCCCAAGGACTGGGCATCGTCGGCATCCGGGTTTCCGTGGATCGCGATTCCCGATTCGGATTCACACTGACTCGTCAAGGAGGATGGTGAGTAGTACTTCCGTATAATCTATATAATCATCATGGGTTAAAGTTCGAAAGAGGTTATGATTCGACGACCAAATGAGATCTTGATTGCAAATTGAAGAGCTTTTTAATGAGTCTTTAATATGTTAGAAAGAGCATACTTAATCAGTTACTTCAATAACTTTCGTACTGCCATATTTTGAAAAAGTACAGTAAAATATGAAAGAATGATATAAACATCTATTTATTCTTTCATTCAATAAATACTTATGTATTCCATTGGCTTTGAAATCTGTAGTACATAATGTAATACATAACACAAAGTTTATAAACTTCAAGACATTCCACACTTCTTATTGCCTTCAATGAACACTCTTGGCCGGAATTAGTCGCCTCTTTCGACGGCCCACTGTACTCGTGTGTGCACACCGTGTTCTGTAAATGCAAATTACTTACGTATGGATGAGTTGCTCCGTCGAGGGGATAGCTTTTTTCGTTGATTAAATTCTGCTGATGGAATCCGCCGATGGCCAGAAGCACAGTGCGCAGCCAAAAATAAAGACCAAAAGACCAAGAGCGGAATACAAAAAAAAAAAAAACCAAAAAAGAAAAATAAGAAAATAGAAGGTGGATGAGATGCGCCAGCGAGGAGGGCAAGTTATCAAATTTTTAATTAAATCTCTCGCTTTGATGTGCGGCCAACTTCGTGGGGCTGTCGTCCTGTCCTCAAGTTTACACAAGTGGTTAGCATAATTAGAGCAGACAGGCCACAATTGGCCAGAAGCCGCAGGAGTGGCTCAGTTGATTCAGGTCGTGGGAAGAGTGGGAGTGAGAGGGGGTGGCAAGGCAAGGAATAAGGGACATTAGTTTCAATTATTTGACATTTCATTCGGATTGCTTTTTAAGCACAAATGCTCGGAGAACTTTTGCTCTAATTGAGCCCATCAAAGATGCAAGGACGGAATATTTTGCCAACTGCAAAAAGGATGGAAAATGCGGAGACGACGACGACGCCCGGCAATCCAATATATCTAATATAAATATTTTTGCAGTTGTTTTTCCTTCAGTAAAAAGGATTTCCGTTTGCTGCCATCAGCAACATTGTTTGCCGTCCTTGTTGTTTTCCCATTTTCTTTTCTTCATATGTGTACGTAAGTTTATGTATGTGTGCCTGTGTGTGTGTGTGTGTGTGTGTGTTGGCCAATTTAAATAAACATTTCGCACCCGACTCTGATTTTATTATGGCCAAGCGGAGGAATACAAACAAAATCTGTGCAGCAGACAGACAAAACTCCGACTGTCTGATGATTATTTGTGTTTACTTTCCACACACACACACACCCACACTCACTCACTCACACAGTCTCGCTTTGTTTATTCCAATCTCGCACACACTGGCACATTAGCCTGGCCAAATATCCAGGTGTATAGCATATCTATTTGGGCCAAGAGGAGAGATTTCTGTACCCGGGCTCGGGCCATAATTTCTCATTAGGCCAATGGCCAAGTAAGCGATATGTTGCATGTTGCTGGCGTGCCGAAAATGTCGCAACTGCAACAACAACTGCTTGCCGCAAAAGGTCCTGGCATAAATTCCTCACTCCTTATTTATGTATTTTTATTATGACAACTTTGCTGTTATTCGCCTTCGTCCTTCTGCGTCCCTTGCTCTTTGAGGGATTTTAAAGTTGTCCTTGTTATTTTTTATGTCCCTGCTGGCCTCCTTATTCCTGCTGCTCCTTCCGATCCTTCCACTCCTGCTGCTCCTGCTGTTGCTGCCACTTGTGCCCTGTGTGTGTGTTAGCCCGCAATAATTCCTGTTTATGCGCGCATTATTTTCGGCTTCTTATGTACACTGCCGGCCAGCGATTTAGTGTCGCTTTTTCACTCACTTTTAACTGGCTTTCCCCAACCTTATTGATTTGCCGGGGGGCTTAATTGGGTTTTAAAGCCACACAGAAAAAAAAGTATTTAAAGGACATCTATTCAATGTAATCTTCATTATATCATAAATTTCTTTTTGGTGGCAGAGAAGCATCTTTATTTTGTTTTTACTATATAAGTTGATCTCAGCATATACAATAAGTTTTATTTTATGTTAGTGCGTTTCGGAATCATTTCTTTTAGAAATTTCTTCTGGTGCACTTAAATAGGAGTTATTTTCTTGAATTCATTTTGGTTTATGTTATGCCTTTTGCAGCTGAAGTTGCTCTTGCTGCTGTTCCATGTTATGCGGCCCAATAAGCAACAGTGTGTTGTTAGCGGGTTTCCCTCCCCCGATTTTCCCCTCTCCCCCGCCAGTTTTCCTCCCCCTCGATTTTCCACATACGACGTACTAAATGTGTGTGTGTGGTATCCTCTTACTTTTGGCCTCAGATTGTTGTTGCTGGTTCTTGGGTCTGTTGCAGGATTTTATGGTTTTGTATTTATAATGTTTATTTCAATTCTTTGCTTTTATTAGCCACCCCCACCCCCTCGCCTCACCGCATTTTCCATTTTCCTTTGGACCGGCTTTTCTTGTTGCTCTTTTGGCTGTCGCCATTTGTTGTCCTGCTTAATTTTTTTCGCTCTCCCGCTTCTTTTTTATGTTTATTTTTATTTTCATTCGGCTGCTGCTCTGTGGTTGTTGCTCCCGCCAACTGACATGCATTGTTGGTTGTTGTTGTCATAGTAATAAAGGTAATAAAAGTCATTATATTGTGCTGCAGGGGATTACTGTTGGCATTTTTTATTGCATAAGTATTATTAGAGTTCGCCCGAAACGTATGTCCTTATGTGCGGCGTATACTCGTATGTTTTCGGATTGCTTGCTTCGCTAAATGCCCCACACCACCCACACTGCTACATCTGCCCGAAACCACCCGAAACCACCCAAAACCAACCACCCAACCACTCCCCGCTCTTCGCATTTCTCTGACTTTTTGCTCAGGTCATGCCCATAAAACCCAATTCAATTACAAATGAATAAATGCAATGCCACAGCAGCTTCGTACAGTTGCGTTCAGAATATTAGGTTTTGGGGAAGAGTAGAAAGTTTAGAAAACTTGTTCTTAAATAAGGGGTAAAGAAAATCCTACAAACTAGTCTTATTTTATTATGGAGTTGTACCTCCTTTAAAAAGGAAATAAAGTTTAGTTTTTATGCAGATTTGTACTATTTTTGTAACTGACTGCTTTACATATTCTTCTATATAGTTTCAAACTTAAAAACAAATTTTTAAATACTTAAACTAGTATCTTGACGGCGATTGTATGTATGTGAATATGTGCAACTACTTTATGCATGCCATAAAAGTAAACAGCTGCATCGGCAAAACAGTAAAATTAAATTAGCGAAAATTGTAACAAATTTTACGAATTCCCTTATATATTTCAAGTTTTTTTTCCCCCTTTATTTTTTAGCACTTTAGTTTTAATGAAATGCATGTCCTTGTTTATGGACATGTTTATAGGCAGCTTTAGTCGCTTTGTTTACGAGGTAATTCAATTGAATGTTTTGTCATTTGATTAAAGGGGAGAATACTCGTATCTGAAAAGCGGAGGAGCATCGAAAGCATTTTCCAGATGCAAGCTATCTCGTTGGTATCCCTGTTTCCCAGTGGCACGCACAAAACACAATTAAAAATCGCATTAATTAAATATTTCAAAAGCAAAAGTTTCCGCCATTTCTTGAGTTTCCAACGCGACTTGGCTTTGTACCCCCGCCTCGTCCTTTCTCCTGCATTTTCCTTCCCAGTTGTTGCTGTTTTTGGTGTTGTTTTGGCCCTTTGTTTTCCAACATCTTCGTCTTCTTGGCAGAAGAAGTTTGTGCAACTTTTCCCGTAGCTGCAATGCGAATTTTCTCTTGTAATAATGGCGGCGGCTCGCAATCGCCATCATTATATTTAATGCGGCTAACGCATGGCAAGGGGGAGGATTGTTTGGGGGGGGATTTTTAACTTATGCTCTGTACCACCAACTCGGCATCTAAAGTTTTTCAATTTCCCACAAACAATTGAGGTATTATCTGGTTCTCCACCTTGGCATTAGGTCGCTCGTTGGGTTGGAAAATGGGGGTGGGGTGGAGGGTGGAATTTCCCCTCCATTCGAGTTCATTAAAATATTAATTTGCATGTTTGCCAGCAACTTTTGCACTAATTTCGTATTCCATTCTACAAATTTCATCCCCCCTCACTCACTATTTGCTCTCTCTTTCTGTTCGCAGGTTCGATGTGCTGGTGAATGGCGGCGGGGCGGTGACCTTGCAGTTCCAGCGCTCCCCCCTTCCGACCTTTGACCCGTACCGTCTTCGTCCCCTGGAACAGGATCGTTGTCCTCCCTCCCGTGCAGATGCAGCTCAGCGACGACGACGAGACCACCAGCCGGAATATCAAGTGAGTCAATTAGCTTAAGACATCCGAAATTATTCGAGAGCTTGTCAACCGAATAATCCTAATCGCGTCACATAAATATTGAAACGTACTTATCCAGCTGATTCAAACACCGTAAAAAACACAATATAATATTAAATACCATAATATCATAATTTTTAAGATTATTGAATGTGTAATCCTAATTATTATCTATTAACTATCTTTTAACTATTTAAATCCCTTATACAATATTTTGGAATACATCTCAGTACCTTTTGCCAATAATTTTAAACTTCAAGAGGTTTCTGACCTATTGATATCCATTTTATTTTAAAGGCGGTCTATCAAATATTTTTAAAATGAAGTTACATACTTGAGACCAATATTGTTCCAATATAAAATATTTTATTTATTTTTGATCCACAAAATATTTATTGTTACTCAAAATTAACTAAAAAATTTGGATTCCAATCTTTGATTTTAGGTTCTAATGTTCTTGGTCTTTCCTTTTCATATTTCATCGGTTTAATTAATGTGTTTTTCTGTTGATTTTTAGGGTGGCTCCGCTGAACCCGGCTTTGACCTTCCTGAACTCGATCCACTACCACACGGCCGACGAGGCCAACGATGCGAGCAAGGTGTGCATGGACCACGATCACGAGAAGCTGCGACCTCAGCTGATCAGCACCTGGATGCCCAACGGAGTGGGAGCGATGCCCGGCAAGAGGGTCATCTTCGCCGAAACCCAGGTGGGTGGACCTGCCAGCAGGTCCTTTTGCTTCCTTTACTGCCCCCGTTCCCGCCTTCTAAATGCCATTCCTAATTAGCAGTCCTGGCAGCAGCTGCTGGACGCAGCGCAGTTTTAATTAATTTAAAGTTTGCCTTAATGACATTATAACTTTGCATTTGCCCAGTGGGAAAGGGGGTGGCGGAAAAGAGGGGGAGGTGGGAAGAGGAGGGACGGAGGAGGTGGAAGAGTGCAGGGGAAAGGGCCAGCGAGGTAGACATTAATTCTGCCAGCCAAAGGGAAAACCCCTCGAAGGTCTGCTCCTCGCTGGATTCCTAATGCGTTTAATTGCAGCACTCGAACCTGTCCAGCTGCGGTCACCAGCAGACACTTGGTTGGGCTCCTCTCTTCCGTTCCGCCCCCTTCTCCTCCTCCTCCTCCTCCTCCCACCTGTTTTCCATTTACCTTTCCCACAACCCCTTCCTCTGCACCACTAAGAGGTTTTCCCCTTTCAGTTAAAGTTTTTCCGGTCTCAAAGTCGCCAAGGGTTGGCGGTTAAGTTAGCAGGGTCACAAAACAATAGGTTATTTAAAATTAAATTCAGGGACAATGGTTATCAAATTAAATTGCCATTTTCTTAGTTAAATTCAATTATACATCAAAAGTGAAGTCCCATTTTAATAAAACTTTGGTATTAATAAATAAAAGTATTCCAAAAACATTTTGCTTAGAAATAAAGGCTAGGTAAATGTAATTGTCTAAAAAGTAATGATTTTAATTCTGCGGGATTCAAGATCTGCGAAATTCTCATTCTAAATTAAATATTTACCTCTGGCTAGTTTCAATAGTAGGTTGTTTCTACCTCTAATGTTAATATTATTTAATAGGTGACTTAACCATTTAATAATCATGAACACTAACCTAACCAAAACCTCAAGCAAAGCCCTCCTAATCTGATTTCTTGCACTCGGTACACTTTTTGTAGCAATCTTAACCAAATGCTCCCTGTATCCCCCACAGATTGTCCAGGAGTCCATCCAGATCCCCGGATCGGACCTCCATTTGACCTACCAATCCTCGCAGGCGAGTGGCTACCTGAGCATCGTGCGCATGCGTCTCACCGCTGAAACGATTCCGCCCACTTTGACCCACGTTCATGTGGGCGTGGAGATCGAGGGCGCCCTCCATGTGAAGACCTACGAGGCGGATCCCAGTTTGGTGCACACCTTCGCCTGGAACAAGAGGAACGTGTATCGCCAGAAGGTTTACGGGGTGACTGTGGCCAGAATTTCGGTGGGCTATCAGCACAGCACCTGCCAGTCGCCCGTTTGGATCGCACAGACCGCCAAGCTGCAGGGCTACGATGTGGATATATCCGACATCGGTGGCTGGGGACTGGACATCCACCACCACTACAACTTCCACGAGGGAATCCTGCAGAAGGGCGACGGCAGCACGCTGCACATGAAGGAGTATCCACGCACAGTTAAGGTGGTGATGGGAACTGGTCTCCAGAGACCGCTCACCTGTCCGGACTACTGCAATGGTGTCGCCAAGGATGCCAAGCTGCTCACTCCCATCGCTCTGGCCACCGGACCCGATGGCAGTCTCTACGTTGGCGACTTCAATCTGGTGCGTCGCATCACGCCCGACGGCAAGGTGTTCACCATTCTCCAGCTGAGTGCCACGCAGGTTTCCTACCAATATTACCTCGCTGTCTCGCCGGCCGACGGACACCTGTACATCTCCGATCCGGAGAGGCATCAGATCCTGAGGCTCCTGCGACTGGAGAAGGTCAAGGATCCGAGCATCAACAGCGATCCCGTGGTGGGCAGTGGTCAGCGATGCATTCCCGGCGACGAGGGCAACTGTGGCGATGGAGGACCCGCCCTGTTGGCCCGACTTTCGCATCCCAAGGGACTGGCAATCGCCGCAGATCGCACCATGTACATTGCAGATGGCACCAACATCCGGGCCGTGGATCCCAAGGGAGTGATCCACACTCTGATCGGTCACCATGGACACCACAACCACTGGAGTCCGGCACCCTGCAGCGGCACTTTGATGGCCAACCAGGCGCAGTTGCAATGGCCCACCGGCTTGGCTTTGAGTCCCCTCGATGGCTCACTGCATTTCATTGACGATCGCCTGGTGCTGCGACTCACCTCGGACATGAAGATCCGAGTGGTGGCCGGCACTCCGTTGCACTGCAGCAACGGAGGACAGGATGGCAGGGTCAACAAGACGGGAACGGACAATGTTCTGGGCACGGTTTTGGCCATGGCCTTCTCGCCATTTGGAAATCTCTACATTGCGGACAGCGATTCGAGAAGGGTGAACTCCATTCGAGTGGTGGACACGGCAGGAAATATGCGATACTTTGCTGGAAAACAGGAAGGCACGGGGTGAGTAGTCCTTGGGGATATACAAAATTACACAAACTATGCGAAACTCATTAAAACTTGTCCGTATGTCCGTTCAAGAGAACAATCGCCTATATATCAACAATTATGAATGTAAGGGCTAGGAAATGTGGCACACCGACAACTACGATGTCTGAAAATAAAATACAATTCAATAGCCTTTCATGCAATCCAAAGCTTTTCAAACAGTTTAAATTTAATCTATGGTTCATTTCGTATATGAAGTTGCACTTAAATATTATTTTTGAATTATTTGCTTCATTTTATATAATGAAAACCGCTTTGGTAATACTGATTGCCCATACTAACCATCCATATGTGTTTGTTGGCATAAAGCCGTGATATAAATTGTGGCTAGGTATTTGTTCAGCATTAATAATGATCATGAATTATATAATATACGTGCTATGAATTATATTCCTTTTAGTTTTTATACCGCTCCTAAATTATGAATGTTGTTCGAAAGTTTAATAGCCAATATTTCATACAGTTTGAGGGAGCTTAGCTGGTTGGATGGTGTAAATCAAACCATTTTCGCTGTTACACCAGCGTGGTGCCATATTTGGTCTTCGCCGAGTTATCAAAGTGCACAGAAAATAAATAATTCCCAGCAGTTGGCTTTGGCCCCCCGAACATGTAGTTGGAAAACCCGACTATTGCATTCTTAGTTGTTTTATGCCCTCAAATATTGACTGGCTACTGGGTCAACATAACAGGGAATTTGGTCAGCAGGCCGCTGGCCAAAAACCCAGCGACGGCAGTGGAAAATGGATTGCGGACGGGGGGGAAATCGTTGGGAAAACATCGTTGAATGAGGAAAGGAGGAAAATCGGGTGGGCAGATTGACTCCACTCGGACTTGTTTATGCGCATACTTGACCCAATTAAGTGAGCTCCGGGCTATTTGCATATTGCCGAACGATATCAGCCAATTTTTCAAAATGTCTACCAAACGACACACGGGACAAAACGCACAGGACGAGGACGAGGACGAAAATGGTGGGAAAGGGGGTAAAGGGGGTAAAGGATACTGCCGTAGAGTGGGGCATAAATAATAAAAATTCAGCAAGAGCAGCACAAAATTGCCAATGCACCAAAACGGCCATAAATGTCAGGCCAACTAGGCAATACCCCCGGAGTATATTCCTCTCAGTCTCTCTCTCCCTTTCTCTCCACATGTATAGTACATACCCTTCTCGCTCCAATCCCCCAATTTTTCCATGCAGAGAGAGGCATGTTAACTTTATTTGACTTTATTAACCCATTTTGAAGGCATCGAAAACGGTGACCAGAAATTAATTGGAATTCTCACATTGGGGAATTTCATTGTCTGATTTTTCATGGCCCCAGTACACGCACATATGTACATATGTATTTCTGTGTGTGTGTGTGTGTGCGTGTGTGAGTGTATAATTGTCCGTTTGTCCGCATGTGTATTTGTGCTCCAGAGGCACTAAAGCCATTTGCATTTTGTGCATTGATTAAAGCGGGGTAGAAAACGGAAACGGAAACAGCAGTCAATGAACTTAAATTCCTGACGCAAACGGAATAATTTTATGCCACGCTAAGAATGGGCAATGAAATTGAGTGTTGCCAAGCCCAGAAGTTCCAGTACTGCAAAGTGCCTTATAAAATTTAAAATTGTTGGTTATACGCCCTTATTTTCATTAAAAAGGAATACAATGTTAAAAGGCATAAAATAATATAATTTAAATTTCTGGTACATACAGTAATTAAATCAAGTTTAGTATTTCTCAGTGTTGGTAAATGACGTATAAATCATGTGTGAGAAGTACTACATAATGTGATGGCAATTTATTTCATTTTATGGATAACCTTTCAAAATTCTGTAAAAACTCTACACTAAACCAATTAATTAGTTTCGTTGACTGACGCCAGAAAAAAAAGCAACCACTCGGGAATATTGTGCAACTTTATCCCAACTGAGTATTCGGGTCCGCAGTTGATTTAAGCAACTACAATTTCGGAGAGCGATGCGATGTGGGGGTCATGTGAATGCCGTCAGGTGCCAGCGGCGGGTTAAAGGGTCCAAAAGAGGGCGGGGGAGGTGCGATTGAAGTGGGCGTGGCCGGCAGACGTGGCAAAGTAATTAGCGGCCGTCGCGCCACAGACAGAAACTATAAATCAACTTTTCACTTTTTTTTTTTCTTCCCCCGGCGTCTTTTGTGCACAGAGCTATATCTTTCGAGAGGTGGCAAAGGGTTAAGGGTTATTGCTGGGGGGTTAGGGTGAGGGGTGGGAGAGGGAGAAGGGAGGGGTTTTCAGGACGGTCTGTGTCCGTGTCTGTTGCGTGGGCGTGGCAGCGATAAGCGACGCCCGGAGCTCGCTTTACTTTAGACTGTTTATCGAACAAACAATGTCATCATAAATATGCGTCCCGAGCAGCCAGAAAAGGGGGGAGAAATCATGAAGAAAGCCGGTTGGAGAAAGGGTGCGGCTAGAGATAGGAAAAATAAGGGAAAAGCGGCAGAAGGTGTGGGGCGCAATCATCTCAGCCCTTCGCAATGCACAACAATGAACCGTATCTGCGGTTCACAAGAAGTTGGCCGGGAAAGGCTTTAGAATCACTCACTTGGCTTTAAGGTGTGGGTTATTGTGCTTTTAATTAGCAGAGGTAACTTCCTTAGTTGCACATTTTCACTGAATTTACCAGAGTTGTAAAATTCCAAGCTATTGAAATTTTTAAACCTTCAAACCAGTTTTATGAATAACAATGGAGGGCACTAAGGCACTAGTTATGAAATTGAAACCGTACTTATCAGTTTATAAATATTGTCGCATTTGGAATTAATCTTAAATATTATTAAGAACTCATTCATATACATTAGTAATTTTTCATTTATATGCTAATTTGTTTTGTTCCTTGTCTGTATACATATCAACTTACATTTATTTTCATATTAATTGCTACCTCCAATAAAACTATATATTTTAGCTGTGAAAAATCAAGCTAAATCGATATTAAATTTAAGTGCAACTTCTTTGAGGCAGTGTCTTAACTTAAACCGTGCTACAAATAAATAAATCAGATTTCCCGAGCGGTTCAATGTGTGCTTAATAGTGGCATGTCAATCCGAAATAAATATTTTATCCTGCACACCGTAACACTCGGTAAACAGAGGCTCTAATTACTGTCTCTTTCCCACGAAACTAATGCGCTTTTCCTTGAATTTTCCCAACCCTTTTCCCCCTTTCAGATCCCAGACGTGCGACTGTGCGATTGGGGGCGGTGGCAACGGCAGTGCCGCCTCCGCGGGAGCGGGCGGGGCCAGTGGTGGCGCCTACTCGACGACCGTTAACCCCACGCGGACCCATGGCGGCACCACGCCCACCACCCCGTCGGGCGGAAACGGAAGCGGAAATGGCAACGGCAACGGCTCGTCGGCGACCTCGAACGGTGGTTCCAATGGCGGAGGTGGTGCAAGTGGCGGTGGCAGCGGCGGTGGGGCGAACGGCGGCGGCGGCGGTGGTGCCTGCATCTGCGCCGGCGGCATCTCACTCTCGGCCGGATCCGGATCGAATTCCGGCTCCGGAACCGGCGGCGGCACCCTGGCCAGCATCGTCGGCAACGGCGGCCTGATGACCACCGGACCCACCACCACCACCACCGTCCTGCTGGGCGCCAAGACCACCGCCTCGGGCATCGGCGGTGGGGCGGCCACCTTGAACGACGACGGCACGCTCAGCAACGCCGAGACGCTCCTCTCCTCGAACGCCCGCTTCCAGGCCATCTCCGCCATCGCGGTGGCCCAGGACGGAGTCATCAACGTCGCCGATCAAGGTGAGTCCAGAAACCTTTAATATCTTTATAAATAAGGGGATATCTTCCTCGCGGAAACCCTCTACTTTATATAGGAATATTTAAAATATGATTTAAAGTTATGCCAAGTAAAAACTTGATTTGCTAGAGGATCACAACTATATTTATAGGATTTTAATTAAAAACAATTGCAATTACTAGTTGGGGTAATCCTTTTCACAGGGTTTATGCATTATAGCAGATGTTTTTAAATTGTTCTAGGAAAATTTTTCATTAGAAAGAGTAATATATACAATCGTATTGCATTATTAAAAAATTACTAGAATAAGTGTAAATACTAAGGAAGGTAAGGTCTTAAGTAAATTTAAGTTAACGTTACAACCAACTTAGCCAACAAAAATACAAATACTATTTGAAAGGGTTGATATTAAGAAAGAAGAAAATCATGTTAAACTCAATTATGTAATATACCTTGAAAATTACAGAGAATGAGAACAAAAGATTCATTACAAAAAGGAATATTAGTTAGCATATGTTAACATATTATCACATTTTGGTTGCAAATAATTATAATTCAAAAGAGGAAAACATCATATAGTCCCTAAAATGGTAAAATTCCCTATTTAAGATAGACATGCATACCTAACCAAAAAACAGAACGTATGAGTTAACAATATTCCTAGGAATTTGTTTAATGAAACCACGGGCCAAGACATTGAAAGCTTCGTTGGGTTGCATTTTTAGCATATTGGCGATGCTTCTCAGGGGTTTTGTATACGCAAACCGCCGACCATATTGCCTTTCCAGTTTCCTGACAGTTGGGCCCAACAAATGTCATCCGATACAGCAAATTTGTCATCTTCCTTCTATGTGTCTCTCCATGCATGTATGTATTGTGTGTTCGTGTGTGTGGGTGTGTGTGTGTTGGCCAGGCAATTTACTTCTGTAGTACAAACGCACTCACACACACGAACAGCAGCTGAATGGAAAATGGAACATTTCCTTTGGCAAATTTTCTTCAACTGGCACTCCTTCTCCTTTTCTTTGGCCATCTTGTTGTGTTAACAAGCGGCGAAGGGAGCAAAAAATAGAAATTGTTAACTGCTGTTGGCTGGGAAAGTAGGAATAAAAAAGAAACGAATAAAAAATGCGAAAAACCGGAAGTTGAATTTCGACATATTGCAAAACACAACCACAGCAAATACAATAATAATAATGACAGCAACAACAATAACAACAACAACAACAACAACAACAACAACAACAACAACCACAACAGCAAACGTAGCAACAACCACGACGGAAATGGCAACAAAACTTGAACAATGAACAAGCTGTGGAGGAACACAGCAATTGTTGTTGTAATTGGCCATTATGGCCAAGAGGGGCGGTCGCTGCAAAAGTGGGCGGGGCAGGTGGTGAGGGGAAGGGGGGGAGGAAAAAGGAAAAGAGCGAAACCAATTTCCGTTACAATTCGAACGAGGACAAATTAGGACCCACTCACACACACACACACACACTTACACGCACGCACACATTCGCCCAGGTAGCCGAAGAAACACAAAACAAAATGGCCGCCAATAAATTTCAGGAAAAGGCAGGAAAAAGCGAAGCGAAATTGAGGAAACGGCAGAGGGAAAAATTTGGAGGGAATCATAATTCTTTATAGAGTTCTTCTATCCACCAAAAACATCACTTAGAACGAATCCTTAAATTGTACGAAAAATAAACTTAACAAATAATAAGTACCTATATCTTTTATAGTATGTAAATTTTATTCAAAATAAAATTTACTGCAAACGTTCAATTCAAAAAAAGAATAAGGCATTACGAAAAATAATTAAGCGTTATTCAAAATGTTGCATTGTCAAAAAATTGAAGTCGTAAGAAATGCAGTGATATTATGCCTTCTTTTCATAAGTCTACCTATCATTCACACTTTAGATGTCATTCAGCATAGTTCAGAGCTGCAACTCTAATGAGTTTTCTCTCAGTGCACAAGTATAACGTCCCCGTAAAAGCAAAAGCTCAAAAAAGCACGGAAGGTATAAATTTGAGTGCATTAGCAGAGCGTAATTTGATAAGACCAAAAACGTAATTAATAAATTTCCACAAAGGCCGGGGAGAGTGGAGTGGAGTGGAGTGGAGTGGCCCTGCCAATGGAGACGATTCCCCATAACGATGGACAAAGGGGTGGATTCTGGGTGGTTTTTGGGTGACTTTCGGGCGGCTTTTTTGGGTGGGTACGCTTTTTTCGGGCGGATCATCATCAGCCGCCGTCGCAGAAGAAGCCGGCAACTCGGCGCGGAAATTAATGAAAAGGCCGGGCGAGAGTTGAAGCCGTGGAAAGCAAATCAATGGCTATAATTAATCAAGTTTTAGTCTGCGATGGTGGTGGTGGGTATGTGTGTGTGTGTGTGGGTGTTGCACACGTGTGAGTGATTGCTGTGTGAGTGTGAAAAGCGAAAAAGTGAAAATCAATCTTATTACCTACGCGGCATTGAATTGGCAAAACTTTTTCCCCTGCTCATCCGAAAAGTGGGCACAACCCCGCCCCCTCCGCACAACATTAATCAGGGGTATATGTGTGTGTATGAGGGGGAGTGGGTGTAGTTGTGTGTGAGCAGACAAGACACATACAAATGTAGCTGCTGGCCGAAGGAAACGTAAATAAGCTTCATTAGCAGCTCGCAAGCTTAAGTGGCCTTTTTCCCGGCGAGAGTGTGTGAAAAATTATTGCATTAATTGCCCTGCCAGGAAAAGAAAGGCGAGCTAAAAATACAAAAAATATCGATGAATCGCTGAGTGACAGGATAAATGAGGAAAGAGTTTGAGGAAGTGGAAATACTTATTAGACAAAGGTGTCTTAATGGGATTAAAAGTTGAGCTGGCATTAAATAAAAATAACAATATAAACTTATAATTCAATTGGACTTGAGTAGGGTTGTATTTCTTTTAAGATTTCCAGCACATTCAAGTTAAGAAACCGAATATAATGCCTAATAATTCCGCATGGGCTTATCCCACTTACAAGGCCACAAATCGCGAAATCAAAGGGTTCTTCCCCAATATCCCAATATCGCAATATCCTTGTTGAGCCTCAGTCCCACCATCGATATCAATTTCGCCAGCGATTTGGACATATGCCAGCTGGCCATGACGACTGTTAAACGCTCAGGACAATTGCAGGACACCCCGGGATCTATGTGTTTGTGTGTGTGCCGTGGGTGTGTGTGTAAAACAAACCCACTTAGTGGATGAAGGGGAAAGAGGAGGAGGGGGAATTGCGGGGGGCGGTGGAGCAGCAAACATTCGGCGACACAATGGCAACAACCCTTTGCATTGGGCACAAACAAGTTGTTCAGTTTATGGGGTCATTACCATTACATTACAGCTCACCCACACACACACACACACACACACACACATTTAGTGGTGGGCGGGAGGGGGTAGAGGGGGTGGTAACCTCCAGCTGAGCGTCACACATTTATTGCATTGAAATTCGCTCAATCGCTGGCCTGGCGCTCTGCCAATTCGAATGCCAATGCCCCGGCTTTCGTTCGGAAATTCAAACTCAAACACTGCCAAAAAGAAGCTATACCATTGGGTATAGGTTTTCCAATGGAAATATTTTACAAAGCTAATTTTCAAAGGATTAAATTTATTTCATTAGATTTAACAATTTACAGATATATTTATTGTTATTAAATTTATTTATTTTGTTCGGTTCATTTTTTAAGAGGTCTCAATTTATTGAGAATGCATTTTAATTTAATATAATATTTGAAGAGTATAATTTCCGCTTAAGTTGTATTATTTTATTGATTGTCTCTATTCATTTGAAATGCTGTCTGCATATTTTATTTTGTAAAGCCATCAAATTTTAATAATGTATAAGGCCAGCGTTAGTATTTTCCCTTTTTGTGAAGTGTTCCGCCAACGCAAACCCAAAACCAAAATTCTCCTCTAAAATGAGACCATAATGGCTTACGCTCCAACTACAGAGGGTCGCAGATGTGGAGGGAGCACTGTGGCATTGCGGAATAGTGGAACTGTGGAACTGTGGGTGGATGGTCATGTGGTGGGTCATGTGTCTCCCGGATCCTTGGTCCTTGCTGGTTTTTGGTCCTCGGGTAAATGAACTGTAACGCAATCAAATCAACACTGCCCGCACCGCAATAAGAATAACCGACAATGTATTTAATATTTTTATTGTGATATGTGCAAATTGCAACTGGCACATAATTCGCAATCAGCGGTGAATTGTTGCATGCAATAATTGTGCGAAATGGATGTTAATGGGTTGCTTTTTGGCTAGGGAATCCATGAAATATTACGTATGGAGTTTATAGGTTTCTGATTATGAGATAAAATTTGAGATTGGTAATAGAATTAATGGAAATAATTAACAGTAATTTAAGTATAATTATAATGCATATTTCTTGAAAATCAAAGTTAATAACAAAGACACATACTATATATATATATGTTATTTATAGAAAAATATTTGTTACAATTTCTACAATTATCTGCATAAAATATTCCACTTGGTTGAATATTTTATTTCCGCAATCAAATTTTGTAGCACACTTTTTGGGGCTGAGTGACCGAGTTGTGTGGCATTTATAAATGCATGCAGTTGGGCGCAATGATGTAAAGTTAATGTCTTTAAAAGCCATCCCCCTCCTCTGTAGACACCCCCTCTGCCCCCTTTCCCCTCCAGCCATTTGGTAGCCCCTCTCCACTTAGTTTCTTATACAAAACGCTGTCGTCACGCTCTTTTGTTGTTGTCTGTTTGCAATGCAAAGCCGTTGGAAAATGGGGGAGGTTGGGAGGTGTTGAAATAAAGTAGGGATGGTGGATGGGGAAGGGGGGAGGGGGAGGGGGGAGGGGGGAGGGAGGGTTGCCTGGATGGATAGGAGATGTGGGGCGGAAAGCAAGCAAATTTATGCAAATCCAAAGCGATTTTCAACACTAACTAAAATGAAACGCTTCAGTGGAAAGGAGGGGAAGGGAAAGAGGGAAAGTGGAAGGGGCGGCACCTACAAAAGGGGGGCGTGGCCAAGAAGGGGGGAGGAGGAAGAGGGGGGCAGCAAATTGCACAAAAATACTTAAGACACTCGCTCACAGATGGAACTTACCTACGCCATTTTGTATTTGTGCATTTGCAGTGATTCAAAACTTAAAAGTTCGGCGACGAGTGGAAAGCGGAAAATGGGGGGAGGGAGTGTGGGGGAAATGCAGGAAAATTCCGTGACTGGGGGTAAATGCAGAGCAGTAAAAACAAACAGCTGCAGGAACTTGGCGTTTAGCTTAAGCAAATGATCAACAAACCGAAGGAGAATCGAGTGGGGGAGGGAAAGTTAAGGAAGTGCGAATAAATTTGATGACCAGTTAAAAGGAATTGTCCAAGGAGCTGGGAATGAATAAATGAGTCAATTATCTGGCAAGGACAACGAGTGTGCGACTTTTTTACGACGCCCCAAACGCTGGCGAAAAGGTAATCAAATGCCAAGCAGATGCTCCCCGAAAAAGCTGCTTTCCCACCCAAATAGCCGCCCATTAGGTTGTAAATAAAGTTGATAAGCTACGCTTGTATGCCGCATCCCATCGGGGTGTAAAAAGTGTCCTTTTACTTGCAGCTTAGTGTCCCGTTCGCTGGGAAGCCATTAAAAACGTACTCGGCTCTCGCAAACTATCCACGGACAACTCCTTCGTCCTAATTAATTCGTGCGATATTGCGGCTTATTGCAGTTCATTTCGGAAACAAAGTGGTCGCACGAGGGTTTCATCTTGGGATCTCATAAAGTTATAACTTGCTTATTTACCACAAACATCTATCAAAATTTTACAAAACATACCTTCTGTTTAAATAGTTCTATTTAAATGATTTAAATACCACATATACACAGATCGATATTATATTCTTATTTGAATTTAATTTTGTTTTACAAATCACAACAGTGCATTTGAAAACCCATTGTTATTCTCCACAAATTATTTATACTAATCTAATTGGTATACCTATTTTTACTAACCTATTGATTATGTTTGTATTATATCATTGACCTATTTAAAACTTAACCCACAACCCCTTATATTCATTTCTCTCCCTCCAGGATCTCTGCATGTCTTGGCTCTGGAGCACTATTTACCATCGCACGACGAGAACGGCGAGTTCCACATCCCCTTCCCGCCGTCGAGCGAGATATACGTGTTCAACCGGTACGGACAGCACGTGGCCACCAAGGACCTGACCTCCGGCAAGACTCGCTACAGCTTCCTCTACTCGAAGAACACCAGCTTCGGAAGACTCTCCACGGTTACGGATGCCTCGGGCAACAAGATCCAGTTCCTTCGCGACTACAGCAACGTCGTGAGCTCGATTGAGAACACGCAGGACCACAAGTCGGAGATCCAGATCAACGGAATCGGAATCATGACCAAGCTGAGCGAGAAGGGTCGCCAGGAGATCGAATTGGATTACGACAGCAACACGGGACTTCTGAACTCGCGGTCCTCGGGAGGAGAGACCTACATCTACCAGTACGATGAGTTTGGTCGCGTGACCGGCATGATCCTCCCAAGCGGCGAGATCGTGAGGATCACCTCGCAGTTGGCAGACAGCCAGGGACTAACCGTTTATGTCCACGCCTCCGTGGAATCCCTGTTCTCGAGGGAACGCATTGCTGGAGAGGCGAATGAACTGCTGGTTTTGGGAGGAGTGCGATCCACTTTCCTGAAGCGCGGACAAGCTCACGCGGACGCGGAACTCAAGGCGAACAATACTCTGGTGATCCACGGGGATAACGGCGTGGTGGTGGAGGCATCCGCAGTGGCCAGGCATCCTCTCCTGGAAGCAGCCCTCCCAGTCGAAGCGGAAATGCTGGCCATGTGGTCGCACCAGAGTGTCACGATGGGCGAGGGACTCACCAATTCGATGTACTCCGTCTACAGTTTGGTGGGCGATGTGCGGAATCCCCAGCAGACGCTCAATCGCGAGATCTGGGTGAACCAGTCGCGGGTGATTGGCGTGGAGTTCGATCAGTTCACCAACCGCGAAACCTTCTACGATGCAAGGCGAACTCCCATCTTGATTGTGGCCTACGACCAGTCGGGTCTGCCCAAGTCGTACTACCCCACCAATGGATATCCGGTGAACATCACCTACGATCGATTCAACAGAGTCGAGGGATGGGCTTGGGGTCCCGCTGAACTCAAGTACAGCTACGATCGACATGGATTGCTCTCAGAGATCACCTCGCAGCAGGACGGCATTGTTTCCTTTGTTTACAATGATTGGAATTTGGTATCCGAGATTGGTTTGGCCAGCCAGCGAAAGTTCGTGCTGCAGTACGACGATGCTGGGGGTTTGAGGCATGTTGTCTTGCCCTCGGGAACCCGCCACAGCTTCAGCATGCAGACCTCCATTGGCTTCATCAGGTGTACCTACACTCCGCCGGGAAGCACAAGAGCCTACCTGCAGCACTACAGTCACGCGGGAGCCCTCCTGCAAACGATTCTCCCTGGAGATGGAGCTCGAATCGTTTATCGGTACAATGCCGCTGGTCAGCTAACTGAAGTGGTGCATGGCGATGGAAGGAGCGAGTTCCAGTACAACGAGGCCACCGGCATGCCGAGCACTGTTTCGCACACCGAAAGGGAACTCGAGTACCGATGGGACTTTGAATACGCCGCTGGCTTGCTGGCCGAGGAGAGGATCGACTACGTGGCCAAGACGGGATTGAGCAACGCCAAGTTCAGCTACGAATACGACTCCCAACTGAGGGTGGTGGCTCTGCAGGGAAGGATTGGCGGACAGAGTCTGCCCTCGCAGGCCTTCGCCTACGATCCGCGAACGGGCAAGCCGAGTTTGATTGGCCAGTTCCGCTTCTCGCAGCCCGCCCAGAATCAAACGCAACTGCATGATGGAACCGCCAGCTTCACGAGAACCGTGGATGGTCGCTTCCAGACGCAGCGAATGGCGCTGGCCATCCACCGACTGGAGGTGTTCCGCATGGAGTTCTCCTACGGAGTGCACGGCAGGATCTCCCAGACGCGCACCTACACGCGGAACATGGCGGTGAACAGCTACACGAATGTGAAGAACTACACGTGGGACTGCGACGGGCAGCTGGTGGGCGTGGAGGCCCAGGAGCCATGGGGCTTCCGCTACGACGACAATGGGAATCTGCTATCGCTCACGTACAGGGGCAACACCATTCCCATGGAGTACAATGCGCAGGACAGGATCGTGAAGTTCGGCGAGGGGCAGTACAAGTACGACGCTCGGGGCCTGGTGGCCCAGAATGCGAGGGAGGAGCGCTTCCACTACAACACGCAGGGTCTTCTGGTGAGGGCATCGAAGAGGGGTCGCTTCGATGTGAGGTATTACTACGATCACCTCAAGAGGCTGACCACCAGGAAGGACAACTTCGGCAATGTGACCCAGTTCTTCTACACGAATCAGCAGAGGCCCTATGAAGTCAGCCAGATCTACTCGCCTCGAGATGGCAAACTGATGTCGCTCACCTACGATGATGTGGGTCATTTGATCTACGCGCAGGTTTATCGGCACAAGTACTACGTGGCCACGGATCAGAGTGGCACTCCCCTGATGCTCTTCAACCAATACGGGGAGGGCATCCGCGAGATTATGCGTTCTCCGTTCGGTCATATTGTGTACGACTCCAACCCTTATCTGTATCTCCCCATTGACTTTTGCGGCGGCATCCTGGATCAGGTCACCACTCTGGTGCACATGGGCGATGGAAGGGTCTACGACCCGCTGATTGGCCAGTGGATGTCGCCGGACTGGCAGCGCGTCGCCGAGCGGATTATCACGCCCACGAGACTCCATTTGTACCGCTTCAATGGCAACGATCCCATCAACGTGGGTCACGAGCGCCACTATCCGGAGGACTTTGCCGCCTGGATGAAGACCCTCGGCTACAATGTGGGCAACCTGGTGCCGCAGCTCTCGCGGGATCTCTGGCAACCGCCGGCGCTGTGGGGCAGGCCGCCCTCCAATCCGGTGGCTCTGAACCTGCGACGACCCTTCGACAACATTCCCACCATGGCGGTGGAGAGTGGCTTCCTCGCCCATCTCAATGTGCGCAGGATGTCGGACTTCGAGCAACTATCTGCGCCTCCACGATCCGCACTCAAGTGCGATGTGATGGATCCCTCGCCGAAGACCATTGGCTCGGATACGGAACCGCCATTTGGCAAGGGCATCGTGGTGTCCCGCACCGCCGACGGCCAGGCAATCGTGTCCAGTGTTCCCGCTGCCAATGCCATCTACCGCGATGTCTACACGAGCGTGTTCAACCGCTCCAAGCTGCTGCCCTTCACGTTCGTGGTGCACAACGCCCAGCAGGATTCGTTCTTCTTCGTCAAGGAGGACGCCTGGCGGGCTACCGAGGATCGCCAGCAGCTGAAGCGACTGCAGGGTCAGGTGAACACCACCTTCCACGAGATCACAAGGGAAGCTGCAGTGGGTGGTTCGGCGGGCTCGAGTTCCGCCTCCTCCTCCTCCTCCTCGAGCGGCTCCTCGTCTGCGTCGGCGAACACGGGCAACTACCTGGACGTGAAGATCCACGGAGCGCACGCGATCATCAACCTGCGGTACGGCACCACCGTGGCCAAGGAGCAGCAGCGGCTGATGCACCACGCCAAGCTGACGGCGGTGCGGAAGGCGTGGCACCGCGAAAAGGAGGCACTCCGCAGCGGGCTGACCACCGCGCTCGAGTGGAGCCAGCAGGAGACGGAGGAGATCCTCAAGCAGAGCTACGCCAACAACTACGAGGGTGAGTACATCCACGACGTGAGCCTCTATCCCGAGCTGGCGGAGGACCCGTACAACATTAAGTTCGTGAAGAAGAAGGGCGCCACCGGCGGTGCGGCGGGGGTTCCCAACTCCCGGCGACGTCGGCGCCGCTCCACCGATCCCCTGGAGATCGCAATCGACAGCGAGAGGGAGCAGGACGAGGTCGAATGTTAGCTCAACACCACCACCACGAGGGACCCAAAGGAACCGGAGCAGGAGGAACCGCTGGAGGAGCGCAAGGAGTGCCGCTAAACCGAAGAACAGGAGACATAATTATTTATATTTATACATATATATATACAGATATATATATATATATAGTATACGTAAATCTATGTTATCGAACCAGTTTTTTGATGTCAAGGAACATTATATATATATATATATACACGTATACATAACATATTTTTTTTTATTGTTAGCCACTAGTGAAAAGTAATGAAAAGTAATCGAAGTTAAGCGAGCGACATGCCAACATAATCCCATGTAGCTGCATGTGCGTTTAAATGTGTGTGTGTGTGACGTCAGCTACAGATACAGATACAGCCACGGATATAGACGCAGTTATAGATATACAGATATATATATATATATAGAGGGAGAGAGAGGAGGAGAGGATAGTGTAGTAGTCATACGAGCGTAAAGCGAACCATACATACAAGACATGTGTACATGCATACTCACCACAATAAGGGGCAAGGATATTTAGCTGGGGCGGGGTAATTCACACTTTTCGAGGGGGCGGAGCAGGGGAGGGGTGTATCTTTTTTTCGTGGTACTCGAGCTTTTTGAGACTGGCATAGTTTTAAACAAAACAAACGAGAAACGGCGACTGACCGACGGACAAGAAGAGCTGATCCCGCGGATCAAACTTTCCACTGATTTCCCAGCCATCCAATGTACATAAGCGGGAAGGAGGAGAGTGGTGGGTGGTGGTGGTGGCGGAGTAGTAGGAAAAGCGAAAAAGGAAATGGATATCGAGGGACAGCCCAGACCAAAACACACACACACACACACACACACACACACCGACGGACTAACTACACTTGGCAACCAGATTTCGGGTTGTGGGAGATTTTTGCTTAGCGAAAGCTTTCTCTCATTTGCTTTGCACAGTGTCAGCTTGGAAAATTCAAAGAAAAACAAAATGAACAAACGTAATTATAGAGATCGAACAACAAAATTTAGCTGCTAGGCGAAATGTTTTTTTTTTAATACAATATAAATGGATATACATTAAATATAGGAGAACACACACACACACACATATTTATAGAGAGAAACCTATAGCTGTAATGTCCTGATAGATAAGTTTAAGTTTTGTCCTACTTAATTAATTAATTTATTCATTATTATTGTTCATATGGCCGAGGCAAGGGCAACACATCCACAATCCAAAAAAAGAGAAGAAAACGAGGAAACAAAAAAATTAACATTCGTATTAAATCGAACTAATTTTAATGATAAATATTAATGCTATTATCGTGTGGAATGTGAAATGTTTTGTTATTATTTGTAAGTCTGCTTTTCTCGAACTCAGCTCAATGCGGCCCAAATAAACTCACAACCATAAAACGAATCGAACTAAATAAAGCTTAAAACAGTATTAAAAAAAAAAAAAAACAAACAAACACAAACACTAAATAGATATATATGATTTCAGCTTGGAACCTTGATCGAGATCGTTGAGCTTTCCGTCCAATTTGATTGAGATTGAGAGGGATCCAGAATAATAATTAGATGCCAATTAAAGTAGAATTCGATCGGACTATTTTTGCCCATTTTGCTTCGCTTGAGAGTCCCCAACTTTTTGCAGCTCGAATTTCACTTGTTTTCCATGAATTGGTGCTTATCGAATTTATTGCCACAACTATATGTGTAGCTATAGTTGAATAATCGCGTGTGTTGAACGTTTCCTTGCCTCCTAGAACATAAGCGAAGAATTGCTAATAAAACCCGTAGAAAAGGAAAACAAAAGATTGCTGAATTAGTTGCGAACGAGCAAGAAAACGAAATTTTATAAAAATTACCAACTCGAACCATGACCACAAACGAGGCCAAAACGATCGATCAGTTGGGCTAGAAGCGACCAGGAGGAGCCAGCCAAGTAGAACGCAGCTTAGAGCAGAATGAGTGTCCGTGTGAGTGTCCGTATAAGGGAGCAGGTGATGTCCGCCCAAGAGGGACTGTGATCCATACGGACAACGGTCCGCTCAAGGGAGCGAGTGTCCGTTTGGGGAAGCAAGTGTACGGACACCTGTCCGGTCAAAAGAGAAAGTAGTGTCCGTACAAGAGAGCGAGTGTCCGCGTGCGTGCGATAGCGTTATATCAAAATATAAGAAAGGGAGGTCGGAGTCTCCCGATAATTGCCGGAGTATCTGTGTATATATATTAAGGCTAATCAAGGTAAACTAGTGTTATATCGTATATGGCACCGTGCATCGTAATCTCTAGTTATATATATATATACATATAAATACAAATATAGAGGCCCACACGCAAGAGTGTGCGCAATTTTTTTTGCTTTTTTTTTCTCCATCGTTGTCGCGCCTAACTAGATGTAAAATAAACGAGACAAACTATCGGATAAACGGCATATATATGTAATATGTATAGGAGTCTATGTGTTAGATGTACGTGTGCGGGGTACCACTGTACTTTCCGCTCGAACTTCTCCCATCTGGTTTTCGATTCGTTTCCATTTCCGTTTCGTTGATTGGCAAACCAAAACAATTCGAAAAAGAGCAGGAGTCAGTTACCTATTAGAATTTGGCAAGCATAAAAAGCAAACAAGCAACAAAATGAAAAATAAAAAAAAAACGATATGAAATTGCTTCAAAAGCAAACAAAAAAAGATAAACAAATGGCACACTAAAATTAATATTATGGATTAGAGAGAACTATGAAATGGCTTGAGAACGGCGAAACCGAAATAAAATAAAATAAAACAAAGTAAAAGTAAAAGTAAAACAAAAGAAAAGAAAACAAAACAAAACAAGAACAGCAGACGCAGCAACAAATATTTATGTGTACATAACGGAAAACCCAAGTATTTTAGGATATTTATGTTAGAGCTACACGAACTTCAACTTAAACCGAAGGAGTAACTTACAACTAAACCTAAACTTAAACCTAAACTAACGCTAAAGTCGAAGGCGAAAAAAGTGAGGAGCGCAGGAGAAGAAATACTTAGCAAATAAAGAAACAGGGAAACAATTGAGATAAATTAACATTTAAACGTTTTGCACACCACAAACAAAATAAACAAGCTAACAACAACTAGTACAGAATACACACACACACAGATACAACCACACGCACACCCACAACCACATTCACAGACAAGAATACAGATACAGATACAGATTGAAGTACATATACATATACAAATACAGACAGCACTCGACAGCAAAGCAAACAACAAAATTTAGCAACAACAAGAATTTATGAGATATAATAAACAAATAAACAAAATAATATAAACAAACCAACCAAAAGGCAGCGACGCAACAAGAAAGTTGAAATACTTATTATAAACAAATAAAACGCAAAATAAAGAACAACAAAAATAAAAAAAGAAGAACAAATTATATTTATTAGACAAAATAGCAGAGAAGAGGAATCTGTAGTATATCGAACTATGTAATTCACAAATAGTAAATAAACCGAGGCAAACCAAGCAACCTAAGGAATATTGTAGGGCAAATTCAACTAAACTAAACGAAAAACGTACATAAAACACCCCAACTTTTTTTTGTCTGTGTAAGCTTAGTGGAGAATCCAATGGCCGGCGGGGAGGGGGAGAACCAACCCCCTTACAACCCCCCGCGATTGGCAATGCAAACGATAAACGATAACCCCCATTCATCACCTAGATCCCCTAGGCATACGCATATATCTATCGGTAAATGAACAATTATATATGGCATTATATTACCACAGCAGAACAGTAAAATAAAATGACATAAAGTAAAAATAATTACGATAATTATTGCAATAATGATAATGATATACCGTATATGTAATGATTTCAACGCGAAACGAGAATATTTTAAGCGTATTAAGTTGAACTATATTATATATGAAAACATATATATATATATATATATATGAATGGAAAAACAAAACAAAAAAAGTGCGACAAGCGATAAAAATAAACCAAAACAAAAAAGAAAACCACACACAACACAACTTCTGAGGATATCAAGGGTCTAAGAATAAATAAAAACTAATGAATTAATTAAAAATAAATAAATGAATATGAAAACTAAATGTGAAGCTATACCCCTGTGTTTTTATTGATTTAGTTTTCAGTAGCTAGTGGGTTTCTTCAGATAGTAAGTATCAAGCAGTCTCTGCTGGAAAAAATCTATTGCAGCTAGGATGCACATATTTTACTTAGAGCAAATAAAATAACTTTCAGAATATTCTACCCAATCGATTATTGAATGCTTAGCATCTACCAACTGAATTGCAATTAAATCTCAAAACAATTTTCTATTGTTTGTTTGCAAAACCAAGTTTACTTTACTTTGGTATGAATGGAGGTAAGTTAATGACTATTTAGTTAGGGTGTTTATATTCATAAATTCGATCTCCGCATGCCGTTAAATACCCTGGAAACGTGATTATTGGAGCATAGGGTGCATGGCAGTCGAATTGTCGCCACCCAAGGAAGTTAAGCCCCCGAAATGCATACATAATAATCATCTCAGTTGGTGTTGCTGCTGTGATGTTGCTGCAATATTGCTGTTGTTGCTGCTGCTGCTGCTGCTGCGATGTTGCTGCTATTGCTGCTGTCTTGGCCAGAGCGTTGACACACATGCATGCCAAATGAGTTCGGGGCGAGGCATTTGGCAAAAGATTTGGCCAGGGCCTCGATGCCGGAGCCAGCTGCACTAGATTTGAGTGAAATGTTGCTACTTCTGGGTGCCCAAGTTGCTTGCCGTTCTATGTGGCGTTCTGGGCACTGTAACTGCTACTGCCAGTGGCACTACCAGAGCGAGATAGATAGAAAGAGAGGGAGAGAGAGAGTGAGTGAGCCGGTGCATCTGCATCTGCAGCTGCAGTTAAATATTCAAATTTATACAAAGCATCTTCAGGTGCTCGTTGAGCAGTTGTGTGTTGCCTGTTTACCAACTACAAACTATGTGTCAACAGCGGCTCAGGCCGAGACAGATGAAGAAAGCATCCACTTTCTGCAGCCGCCCTTCCCCCCTCACACTTCCCCTTTCTCCTCGGGGTTGCTGCATTATTTATCCCCAGAAAAAACGGGGTGGTGGGTGGTGGGTGGCCTGTGGGCTCTGGGCTGTGGGCGGTGCACTCACCTCAGTCGGGTCGAGGCTGCTCTCCATTTTCTGCATTTCAATTACAGACTTGCTGGCACCCTCCGACGCCATCATCTCCGTCATCATCATCCGCATCATCAGTATGCACCTCTGCCTCAAGAGCTGTTTTCTAGCCTAGACCTGACACCCGGTTAAAAGGGGGAGGGAAAAGAGGGGGAAGGAAGGGGGGAGGGGGTAAAGAACCGACGCTAAAGAAGTGCCAAAAGTCAAAGTCCCACTGCAGTTTCGATCCGGAATGTTAATATGCCAAAAACAAATAGGGAAACCAAAGTCAGGTGCGCCGACTAACAACTACTCGATACTCGTATTTAGGGTCTGCTTAAGAGGACCATCGTGTTTGCAGAACAGAAGGCTCTAAATATTACTGCATGTTACAAAATCCAGATTTCTGGTAAACAAATAAGTATAAGGAATCATCCTTGTAAATACAAGCCCTATTTTTATTTACCAAAAACGACAGATAAGTTTTCTTGGAGAGCTTTAATTTCTTTATTATTCGCAGGAATTTGATGTTTTTCAAGAAATAAATTTAAATAATCAAACCATAAACAGTCAATCAGCAAAGGTATGTTTCAGCTCATTACCCAAATTATCTCAAAGCTGTATTATATTTATATGCATTAATTTACTGTTTTTAATAAATAGAATAAAAATCCATTTCTTCATGAAGAATCGCCAAAAGGAAATCTCCCATAATTAACCTCATTATCCAACTGGTTTACCTGCTTTTATTTAGTATTTCAATAAATTATTGTTTTAGATAAAATAAAATAAAAACCCTTTTAATGGAGGGAGGCCGATTGGTGCTATCCTCCCACATCCAAAATCAGCAAAGGGAAATCTGAGGATATATGGCCTGTCAGATGCAACCACTCGTTCGGAATAAACTGCCTGGCATAATTATCTATGGTCCAGGACGGAATGCATGTGACATATGCAGGTGTGTACTTTGTTTCCATAAATGCATCTGGTCAGGCATGTGGGACTGCAATTCTGGATCCGAATGCCTTCTGATATTGGACGGCGGTTTCTGCTCTAATGAGCTCCAACGCCAGTTTCCCAAAGGGATACATTATATCTAAAGGGCATTGAAATTCTCATAAAGTAAAATTGTTGCTGCAGGAATTAAATTGAATCTTCTCATCACCAAATAGCAATATATTTATGTGAAATGGATTTCATTTTTATAAGCTACGTTTTTATCATGATTTTTTCTTATTTTATAGCCTTCACAGAGTTATCCAAGCTAAACAATAGTGTTTTTCTTTGAATTCGTTTATTCAGTTTTTTATGACAAAATAAAGCTCTGGCGAAAACAACTTGAAAATGAAGCTGTTTTATTTCGTTGCAACTCCATTAGCAAATATATATTCTTTCTATAAACTATTTTTACCATCTTAATTGGAAAGCCTTTTATTTATAAATCGAAGCCCAGGAATTTCGTGCTGGCATTCGCCGCTTGTTCTCTGATATGCGTTATGTGTTTTATTAAAACAAAAAGAACTGAGACAAAGACAAACTCATATGCAAAGTTTGCAATGCAAATATGAAATATTTGTGTTTTGTTTTCATTTCCTTTGTGAGCTGAAATAAATCAAGGAAGGCAAATTGAATAAATGGCATATTTTCTTTGAGACTCCTCTTACAAAGGAGTTACAAAATAAAAAAAAAGGAAATGGAGGCAAATTGTGGATTGTGGACTTTTGTTTCATGCTATTTTTCTATTACGGTGTCAAAGGACACTCATTCTAATTGCGAGTGTGTGCGTGTGTGTGTTAAGGTATTTCACAGCAGCGATCTTTTGGTCGAGAGCGAGTGAGCACGGAGATAAGGAAATAAGGAATGGCATTTGAAAGCCAAGGAATTCGCAGGAGAGCGGGGACAAAGGCAAAATGTCAACTATTTTGCGAGTCGCCTTTGATGCGGCAGCGGGACATCAAAAAGATGCAATGTCAACACACACGCAAACACACTCTTACTGTGTCCTGGCCACATTATTAACTCGGCAGAATGAACTCCTGGGCGTGTCCAGGATTAGGATGCGGGGATGCGGAGAAGCCATGCGACGGCCTCACGAGCCATGGCAAACTTTAGCATATTTGTTAAATACTTTAATTAATAATTTAGAGCGCGAGAGGGGACTCTGCGGGGGGAAGGGGGAGGGGGTGAGTTCTCGAGAGCAAACAGGGGAGAGAAGCCCAGAAGTTGAGCAAACAACTAACAAAAGATCAAGGATTATGCGTGCTCAGTCCATGGGCATGTGTGTGTGTGTGTATGCGTGTGTGAGCGTGTATGTGTGTGTGTGCTTTCCGGATGCGGTGTAAGAGGAGGAAAAGCGCTCCTAGGACTCCGGTCTGTAATAAAAAGAAAACAAAGAAGATTAGACTAAACGGAGCGGAGGCCAAGAAGAAGCCGGCTTGATGAGTTTAATTATTTGAATGCTTCAACTCACACACGCACACACAAAGCGCTAGAAAGGGGAAGTGGGTGGAAACGGATGGAAAGGGGGGGAAGGGGGTGGAGAGGCGGAAAAAGGGCGGAGGAAAAGCCAAGGGCGCGCCAGCCAAACAAAAGGCAGATGCTTTTGTCA